CCAAAGTTGGTCACGTATCGAAAATGGATGTCATTGAATTGAGGCCATTCCAGATGGTATCGGAAAATACCCTAACCGTCGAGTATACCCCACTGGACATTGACTATGAAGTGAAACTCAACAGCGATATAGCGACCATTAAGTCCAAACCCAGGCTATTGAACGTGAAACTGGTTGGTAAAGATCAGAAAAATCGACCCGGCCAGGCTGTCCAGGGCGAGCTCCGGTACGAAAATATGGAACAACCCGTACAGCAGGTCCTGAATGCCTCCCTAAGCTATCCGGGCAACGAAATTAGCTATTATAGCGAAGTCAAACAGATCAAGGACTTGACATATTCGGGTAAAATGATTTACTCGCCGACCAAAAACAAAGTCATAACCATCGACCATAAGGAAAGGTATGTGTTTTGCACCGATTCTTCTATTAGTATTACCACCAAACCTACCCTTCCCTTACTTACTTATACCTACCCTTACTTACATATACTTACCATTACTTACTTAAATATATACCTACCCTTACTTACTTAAATATACCTACCCTTACTTACATATACCTACTCTTACTTACTTAAATATATACCTACCCTTACTTACTTAAATATACCTACCCTTACTTACATATACCTACCATTACTTACATATACCTACCCTTACTTATATATACCTACCCTTACTTACTTAAATATACCTACCCTTACTTACATATACCTACCATTACTTACTTACTTATACCTCTACACCTTATTCACTAGCATTACAAATCCGACACAAAATTTCTTTATTAAATCCGAGGCCAAGATATCCTATTCGGACAGTCCGTCGACCAAATCAGTTGAATTGGATGTCGGCTACGAACGACCGGATTTGTTTCGCTACCGACGGGTACTGAAAGCCAACGACAAAAAGATGAACCATTTGGATGTGAAATACGATACGGTCGGCCATAAGCTGGATGTGGACGCCGCCTGCGAATATCACGATAAAGCGGTTACCGTCAAAGTCGACGATGTGGTCAATCCTAAGTCGGCCCAGTTGTCTGTTAGGTCGGGACCCAAATCCTATAAGTTTAGCGCTGCCCGAGTGCCCAAAGAGTCGATTATTGTCAAACTGGACTCTGCGGAAAACTCCCGACTCAAGGAGGTTTGTATATTATAGTTAGTTAGTAGTAGTAGTAGTGTGTTGTTGTCGACAACAATAACAACCTAACTGTCCCCCCATATTGTATATAACTTTTTTTTATGTGTCGACAATACCAAACCTAACTGTTCCCCACTTATTATATAACCTGTGTCTCGACAATAACAACCTAACTGTTCCCAAAAAAAAATATTAAAACTTTTTTGTTTATATGTTGTTCCTCACCAACCAACCCAACCAACCAACCAACCAAACAGTTCAAAGCTAAAGTATCCAGAAAAGAAAAATCTAGTCTCCGATTGGTCGTCAACGATGGCCAGGGAGATGCCGAACTCAATACCTATATCGATCTGTTGGGACCGAAAGAAAAACGTGCGCACCTGGACTTTAAATGTCCCCGACTAGCCATCGATCACCAGGGTGATATTGTGGTCAATCGGGTCGATCGTAAACTAAACTGGGACTCGAAAACCAACAAAAACGGTAAACTATATTACGAAGGATCAGCTGAATTGGTGGCCAAAGGCCGGTCGTTCCTGTTGTTGAAGAAACATAAGACGGACGGAACGGTATCCAAGTTTGAATACTTTCACGATAAGTCTGTTTACGGGGCAGTGTTGGACACCAGTCGATTCAGTGCCGTATGGGAAGGCGAAAACAAAGGCGATGGTAAACGTTTCGGTAAACTGGGGTTTGTCGACAAACTGGCCAATGTTGAACACAAGTCGCATATCAATATTAGCAACGGTATCCTAACTATTAAATCCCTGAGCGATGATAAAGACAAGCAATCGGTTACCAAATTGGATGCCCAGATCGGTTTGCGTATAGTATCCGAAATCAATTTGGTTACCCCGAATATCAATGGCCATTTGAAAGCCAACCCGTTGGCCGAACCGAAAACTTTGGTTGTCAAATGGGTCGGCCCGGTGGTCGACTATAACCTGAATGTTGACTGGGCTCGGGGTAAGTATCTGAAATTGGACAGCCAATCGGAACGTAAGGTCGATCCGAAACGTACCCTTAAAGTCGATGCCTATCTGACCCGTCAGGATGAGTCCAAATTGCATATACAGGCGCCGCCACAGTTGGACTTTGATGTCAAACGTGTTTTGCAACCGAAACCCCATTTTGTTTTCAATACGACTATCAGTGGCTATAATGAGATCCAGGAGTTTGATTCAAATCCATCGCTCAGTTCGACACAGAATCTGGTGATAGCATTGGGTAAATGGTTTCAATCGTATACCAGTACTAACTAGAGTGGACGGGTGTGTAGTAGTAGTAGGTGTGGGTGTGTGTGTGTGAGTATGAGATATATATATACCTAATTATAATTAATTAATAATATTATATATATATATAAAAAATAATTAATTAAAATATTTTTTTTGATTTATTTTATTTTCTTTCATTACATAAATAAATTAATAATTATATAATATATAAATAATTTTTAATTCTTATAATTAACTATTATTATTAATAATAAATTTTTATAACAAAAATGTTTTTAAATTATTTGTTTTTTAATCACTAAATAATAATAATAATAATCTATTGATCAATCATTTTTTGTGTAATAATAATACTAAAAAAATAATTGTTTTTTTTTTAATTAATAATATTATAAAATATATTTTTTTTAAATATTAATACTGTACTAATTATAATATATTATAATAATTATTATTATTATTATTATAATCAATAATAAACTAGATTTTTAATGAATATTAAGTTTCTTTTTTATTTAATCTATAAATTATAATAACAATAACAACAAACAAAACAATACAAAAGTTAATTAATTAATTATAATATAATAAACAATTATTTTTTAAATTATAATAAGATATATATAAGTTATTAATGTTGATTTTAATTTAATTTAAAAAATAATATAATATATTAGTTACTAAATAATGTCATAAACAATAGATAATCATTGAATAGTAATTAATATATATATATATAATTGATTTTTATTTAAAATATTAAACACTGATTCTGTTATAAAATATTATATTAATCAGTAAATAATAATAATTTAGTAAAACATTAATATATGATAACATTTAAAAAAAATGACATTTAATAACTAAACTTATAATAACTTATAAATAAAAATAAATAAACAATATTTGAATAATAATTTAAAGCTATTAAACTATTTTTAAAATCTATACAAAAGTTTAATACAACACACACAAAAATTCATACAATATTTCAGTAATATCTAAAATATCTATTTGAGTTAACTTACAATATTAACAGTACTACTACTACTACTAATAATAATAATAATAATAGACATATTAGTTGGCAAATAATGTCATAAACAATATATAATCATTGAATAGGAAAAACGTATATTGAAATAGTGCTAAACTAGTAATCGGAAACCAATCGGATATATAAAACCCAATAGTATTAGTAGTCAACTGTTCAATATATAACTGTATAGTTAGTCTATCTCTTACTAGTGATACTATTGGGCGCCGATACCGGCGCTTATACAGTAATCGGCGCATACCTACCAGTGGCCAATGGGCTAGTTTTGTAAACATAATAATCATTATGCCCAGGTGTAGACCTAAATTTATTTGAGCATTTAATAGGTAATAATAGATGATTTTGTAGACTGGATTCAATTGATAGTGCCATAGAAAGTATAGCATAAATATCATTATTGAATACCATAGATAGTAGGCTACTGCCAGCCATGAACTATGATACTGGTTGACCATTGAGATTAGTTTGCAAACATACTGGTGCTCGCGGATAGCCTGCATCAGTAGTCTAGTATCGGCCGTACCGAAGGCCTGATTGAATTTGTCGTTTACTTCAAACAATTTGATTACCAAATGGCCAACCGATACCACTATTATGGCCGTCCAATAGCCTATAATTGCTACACAATGTACTATAGCTATAGCAGTACTGATTTGCCATAAGATTAGTATCGGTAGCTTTATATATATATATATATATATGTTTAGAAAAAATAAAAATCAATAAATTATTTATGATAAATACATTTATTAAAATATAAAATAATATTATAAATAATTAAATAATTCATTAGCTAAATTTAATTAACAACATTATTATTATTATTATTGACTAGAATTACCTGTATTGATAGCTTTATGTTTATATATATATATATAAATAAAAATAAAATTTAAAAATTATTTATAAAAATACAATATAATAAAATTATAATAATTATAATAAACTTATTTTTTAAATAATAATTATTATTAATAATAATCTAATAATTGATTAATTAATTAAAATTTTTAGCTTAGTTTTATTATTTTTAGTAATAAAAACTGTATTGAATTTTTAAATTTAACTGAATTTAATAAATACTTATAAATATATATATATATATATATATATACAGTATAATAATATGATATACAGTATATGTATGTATATATAAATATAAATATACTTAATAATGATTATTTTTAATTGAAAAATTGTTAGTTAATAAATAGTATACCTGTATCAATGAATTTTGTTTAAATAATATTAACGATAATATTATAGTAATTAGGATAAGTATTATTGATAATATATAATAAATAACATAAAGTATTATAATTAATAAATTTAATATAAATAAATATAAATCCCGGATTTGTTTATTATTGATTGGATATTTGAATCGTTGATATTTCAATGCATACATGAATTGCCAAAATCTATGCCTATTGTAGTCCTTATTCATCCAAATAATAATATTTAGCAAAATAAACATTAAAAATAAACTACACAATAGCGATATTATCCAATTGCCACCTAATAGTGATGCAATATCGCATACCAGTGCCAAATGATGGGGATTAGTAGTCATGGATGGTATCATAAATCTAATCATATTAATGAATAAAATCAATTTCAATAGCAATGCTTTCCAAACAATAGTTTTCCAATTGAATGGTTTTCCTGAGTATTGATCATCAATACTATGAAAAATTGTTATACAATTTTGCCGATTAAATTGTTCAACTAATTCAATAATTTCATTGAATGATTTTTGCAAATAATTGCCAATCAATAATTTTAGTAAACATATACATAAATATATGTGAATTATTATGTTTAAATAAAATCTAATTATCATATTTTGTTTTTTTTTTGTTTGGTTAATTAGTTATAAGTGCTAAAATTGTACTTTCATATTAAATTGTTATTAAAATTATTATATTATTTTGGTTATGATTTATTATTTATATACTAATTTAAATGTCAAATTAAACATTGATTGTTATGATTATAATTGTTATGAAATATATATTAATTAATTAATTTTACACGATATTTAATAATTATTAAAAATAATAATATTTATTCATATATTTTATTCATATTATTGCAAAACAAAATATAATTATAGTAAATGTACTTAAATTATACTAACATTTGTTGAACATATATTCAATAAATACATTATTTGAATAAATTTATTTTGAATAAAATGACATTTAAATTAAGATTTAATTGTTTTTATTTTGTCATATAATATATAGTAATATATATATATATATATATATATATATATATATATAATGATTTTCAATTAACGCTAATATAATATTGAAAATWAATTAATTATTATGAAATTTATTTGACCTAATTATTTTGTTTTTATTTAATTATTTTTGTAAACATTAATTTCATAATTTTTTTTTGTAGTCTCAGTAATTAGATAATATATATTTGATTTTTTTTTAATTATATTTATTTAAATTAAAATATGTTAAATAAATAAATAATAATAATAATCAGTAAATAATAAATAATATTATTTCTAGTAATAATAGTAAAACATTTAAACAATAATATAAATTTTTTAATAAATGATTTAACTGTTTTAGTTAGTTAGTTAGTTAGTCAAACAATAAATTAAATATTTTAATAATAGTTATTATTATCACAAAAAAATTGCTTAAAATAAGATTTTAAATAAAACAAACTAATAAATAGTCAATTAATTATCTAATTAAAAAAAAATTTAATTAAAAAAATATAATTATTATATTTTATTATAAATAATATGTCAAATTAAAAACTAAACAATTAATAATAAAGTTTTTAAAATTTATATAATATTTTGATGGCAACTCACATATTAGTTTTTATTTTAACTTATTAATATATTTTTAATCTATTAGTTAACAATAATAATAATAACAACAAAAACAATATAATTTTTTTTTAAAAAAATTAATACAATATTTCACTAATATCTAAAAAAAAATTTTTGAGTTAATTTATTAACACTGTATTAATAATAATTGTTAGTTAACCAAATAATGTTATAAATAATATATAATCATTGAATAGGAAAAATGTGTATTGAAATAGTAATAAACTATTAATCGGAAACCAATCGCTTATATAAAACCCAATAGTATTAGTAGTCAACTGTTCAATATATAACTGTATAGTTAGTCTATCTCTCAGTAATACAATTGGTTGCCGCTTATACAGATACTGGCGCATACCTACCAGTGGCCAATGGGCTAGTTTATTGAACATAATAATCAATATGGTCAGGTGCAAACCATTAATGATTTGACAATTTAATATAAAATAATAGATTAATAGATAAATTGGATGCAATTGATAGTGCCATAGATAGTATAGTGTTAGTACACAAATTGAATACCATAGATAGTAGGCTAGTGCCAGCCATGAACTATGATATTGACTGACCATAGAGATTAGTTTGCTAACATACTGGTGCTCACGTATAGCCAGCAACAGTAGTCTAGTATCCCCTGTACCAAAGGCCTGATTGAATTTTTTGTTTACTTCAAACAATTTGATAACCAAATGGCCAACCGATACCACTATTATGGCCATCCAATAGCCTATAATTGCTACACTATGTACTACAGAGATAACTGTATTGATTTGCCATAATATTAGTATTGGTAGCTATATATAGTATATAAATAAAAATAAGATTTAAAAATTATTTATAAAAAATAATATTAATAGTAATTAAACTTAAAACAAATTAATAGTACATTAAAATGTATTAAAATTAGTAATAATATTATTAAATTACTAAATTCTATGTAATCTATAAAATTATATAATAATTAAAATAAACTTTTCTTTTTAAATAATAGTAATCTAATAATATATTAAATTAGATAAAATAAAAATTAATAAATTATTAGTGATAAATATATATATATATATATAAAATATAAAATAATACTTATAAAACTTTTATTTAAATATTCAATATTATAAATAATCAAATAATTTAGTTTAAACTAAATTTAAATTAAAATTATTATTATTAATTAACTAGCATTTTACCTGTATC